CCATAGAACTCCCCGCAAATAATTCCTGGAGCACTTTTTTTTTTAAAGAAAAATATCTAATCTTGATTTAAAAATTGTCAGTGATGAAGACTGTCACAACTCTCAGTACATTGTTCCAGTGGTTAATTAGTCTCACTGTTAAAAGTTTACTTATTTCCAATCTGAATTTGTCTAGCGTTAATTTCAACCATTCAGTTGTTATACCTGTCTCTGCTAGACTGAAGCATCCATTATTACATATTTGTTCGCTGTCTAGGTACTTATAGACTATAATTGATTTACTCCTTATCCTTCTTTTAATTATGCCAAATAGATTGAGCTCCTTATGTCTGTGAGTACAAGCCATGGTATTTAATCCTCTAGTAATTCTCATGGCTCTTCTCTGAACCCAGTGCAATTTATCAATAGCCTTGAATTGCGGGCACCAGAATTGGACACCATATTTCAGCAGAGGTCACACCAGAGGTACAAGAGAATCTCTGTTCCTACTCAAGATTCTTGTTTATGCATCCCATGATTGCATTAGCTCTGTGGGCCACAGTGATGCCAGAGGGAGCTCCTGTTCAGCTGACTATCCACTACAACCCCCAAATAGATTTTTTTTTTTTTTGAAGAATCATTGCTTCCCAGAGAAGAATCCCCCATCCTGTAAGCATGGCCTACATTCTTTGTTCCTCAAAGTATATGCTAACATTTAGCCATACAGTTTTAGCATATTGTTTGCTTGGCTCCTGGTATTGGCGTACAGGCAACTAAACAATTTCTTATATTTATGTTCTTTGATTCCTTGATTGTTTTTGCTCTCAAAAGAGGTACATGCACAGCTCAGCTTCTGGTACATTTCATATTGTGCCTGAACTGGTCAGTGAGAATTAGGTGGATCCTTTATTGCAAAACCTTTAACATTCATGTTAAAAAGCTTTAAGGGGGTAACCGATGCTATAATAGGCAAAATTTAAAAAACCAGAAATAGTCTAGTAGCACCTTAAAGACGAACAAAACATGTAGGTGGTATCATGAGCTTAGTGAGTTGTGCCCACAAAAGCTCATCATGCCATCTACATGTTTTGTTAGTCTTTAAGGTGCTATTAGACTATTAGTTGTTTTTTATTTGTATTAAAGCCAGCCTTGCATCTCTGTAAGGATATGTACGGAAACTTTGTGTTACCTTTTTATTAGCAGTTGCAAGCAAGATTTATGATTTCTGATTCATGTAGGTACTCTTTTAATCTCAAGACATTCTGTGGAATAAAATTGCTGCTGCTCTTGCTTGCTTCCCCCATGTTGAAGGTAGCACCATTCCCCATTGAGGCAATCGCAGAACCATGACTTTTTCTCTCTGGTGGGTAGTTTCTGGAAGAAACAAGTTAATTATTTAAGATGGGATGGCCAGATGGTTTTGTTCTTGCAATCATGTTTAGTGCTCTTTGCATTCCACGCAACTGTCCATTCTCAGTACATGAATGCCACTCTCCCTATTAACAGGCATAATCCTTACTTTGGAGGACTATGGTAGCCATTCCCCTTCTCTCGCACAAAATACTTTTGCACCCCTTGGAAACAGAAACGGGTCCTTTATTTATCAACAAAAGCTGAGGAGGCCTCAAGATCCCTTGCTGCATGGATCATGGCAGGGAAGAATCTCTGCTTTCCCCAGACCTAAGGGAACCCTGAATATCAGAGATGTGTTGAGATATTTTTCAGCTTGATTTCTCTTTCCTGTTTGTTTCAACCTCTCCCTCCCTTGCAGTCCTTCCAGTGCCAACTTCTGTCTCCCTGGCCTCCATACTACTCATCCTTGCCTCCTTACTACTTCCTCTCTCCCTCAAGATCATAGCAACATTATGTTAGGCGATGTGCAAACAATGCGAAGTTCATCTTATCCAGAGAGGCTAAACTTCTAAAAAGAGATAACAAGGGAGGTTAAATGTTCAATACCCCGGTGCATGGCTTCTGAATTCCGAATGATTGTTTAAATATACATATGTAAAAATATAGGTGTTCCCACATAGGGTCTTTGCACACTAGTAAAATACAAATAATATGCTCATTCACCAAGCATTATGTAAATCACAGTTTGAGTTTAAAAAAAAAAGTGCCTCATGATGCTTAAACTTACTATTACTTATGCGTTCTCCAACGCAACTTCTAATGAACAAGATCCTCCATTCCGTAGATCCGTGCTGCTTCCTCCTTAGTCCATAGTTTTAACCAAGTTTCGATTCTATACCTCACACATGCTTAGCTCTCAAACTTGTAAAAATTCAGCACATAATCCTTTTTTTTAAAAAAACAGTATTAAATCACTTAACATTACACCCAAAATTTACTGATAAAGCAAACACCAATAAGAATGGATCTTATGACAGTCCACATAGGCTGTGTCTAGACTGGCAAGTTTTTCCGCAAAATCATCTGCTTTTGCGGAAAAACTTGCCAGCTGTCTACACTGGCTGCTTGAATTTCTGCAAGAACACTGATGATCTCATGTAAGATTGTCAGTGTTCTTGTGGAAATACTGTGCTGCTCCCGTTCGGGCAAAAGCCCTCTTGCGCAAATCATTTGCACAAGAGGGCCAGTGTAGACAGCAGTGCTGTTTTGTGCAAAAAAGCCCCGACGGCTAAAATGGCAATTGGGGCTTTTTTGCGCAAAAGCGTGTCTAGATTGGCACAGACGCTTTTCCGCAAAAAGTGCTTTTGCGGAAAAGCGTCTGTGCCAATCTAGATGCTCTTTTCCGAAAATGCTTTTAACAGAAAACTTTTCCATTAAAAGCATTTCCGGAAAATCATGCCAATCTAGACGTAGCCATAGTGTTTTGTGGTTTATAGAAATGTTTGTTCTCTTGGAATTTAACATGATAGGTGGAACAGTGAGACTCAGATGCTTAATTCTCTGGCTGTTGAATTGCTTTGGAATTTGAATCTTCGTTCACCTTCTTCAAATTTGGGGAAGTAGAGTGTGTGTGTCTGTCTTGGTGCTTGGTTTTATCATTCCTTCAGCATTTTTTCCTTCTTCCTTTCGAATCCATGGAGAAGCTTTTCCCTTTTAAATTGGATAGTAGAATTTATTGTCCGGTATATTTTCTCTGTCTCTGTCTCTGTCTCTCAAGTCCCTGTGATTTTTGGTTTTCATTGAGCACTGTGTGAGTGTGCAAGATTACATACATACTCATTGACGGCATTGTAGATAGTTTCATAGATTTCAAAACACACATAGTAGGATATTTCTGTCTGGTTTAAATTTTGCAACTGTATCTGTTAAGTAAGCGTGAACTTAACAGTAGTTTTCCTTTTACTCCCCTTTGGCCATCAAGATAGAGTTAATATATTTCATAGTTTCATGTACAAACATTATTCAGTTGTCAGTGTTTATAGTATTCTTTAAACTGTAGTACTGTTTGAACAGTAAATATTTTATAGATAATTGTAGTTGTGTTAATCTAATTCATGCCAATATTAGTTCTCAAATGAATTCAATAAAGCCTCCAATAAACAATCCTATTGTTCCTGAGTTTAACATTGTATAACTCCAGTTTCACTTTAAGCAGTGGAGTTACATCAATGCAAAACTGGGATGACATGGTAGTGTATCAGCCCTGCTGTCTGTTAATTTTAGGTTTTAAAAATCACCTACCAGCATGGTATATATGCATTCCTGTATTGGGTGAGATTTAGGTAGTAATGTGATAATATTTAAAGAAATCAAATATCTTCCCAAATGAAATATTTTATGCATTTCACTTTAGAAATATGCCTTTTTTAAAAACAAGGTTCTGTGTTGTTTGCAGTATTCAGAGATCTGTTGTTTTTAAGAAACGCGTTATAGGCCTCAAACTGCTATTGGTAATATCCTTCATGATTTATAGTGTTAAAAATAATACTTTTGCATCCTACTTCTGACTTTTTGGTGCATTGCTTTATTTTCTGTGTTCTTATACAATGAAAGCTATATTTTGCAAACATGAGCGGATATTCCCATAGTGGTGTTTTCTACTCTGGCATAGTGGGAAGCCATCACCTCTAAACAATGTTGTTCCATTGTTTGCACTTTTTAGAAGAGGCAAATAAGCAACTTTTACATTAGAGTGAAACTGGATTATAATATTGAAAATAAGATACAAACGATATTGTAGTCATTGTAGAGATTTTAAAGTTATTGTCGTGGTGAAGGATGTTTGGGTGTAAACGACTAACCAAATAACATTTGAACTGTGGTAGTGAAGTTCCTCCCTGGGAGCAGGTCCGGCAGGGGTTGGTGGTCCTGCTCCTGGGGAGGCTTAACTGTGGGCTCTGCAGTATAAAGCTAAGACCAGTTCAGGGCCGGCTTAGCAACTGTACCAGTTGTGGAGGCATATTTAAAGATTTGTATATTTTGTGGCAGACAATCAAAGCAAGACGGTGACTTCGTTACAGAAATTTTATTTACCTTTAACTTACCAGGCTGCTGTTAGCTTCTCCCTTTAACCAATATTGCCTTATAGTGGAAATTGCATAGCTGCATGAACAAATGGGGGAAATAATCTGTGAGGCCTTCATAAGCCATAAACTTTAAGGGGATAATGCTGTGCTTGTTCCCAGCCTATTTGGAAAAGAGAAACACACAATTACTTGATCAATAATGATTTATGAAGCCATAATGTCACCAAATGCTATCTGCAGTGAAAGTAAAATAGTCCCTTAAATGAAGAATGATACAGAAATGTTTTGCACTGAGAGTGGATTTTGGTTTAGTTGGCGCTGAGTATTGTATTGAATCTAATCAGTGGCCAAGTCAATCTTTGTTGTAAAAGCATAGGAAATTCTTACACTGTTGTTCCACATTCCAAATAACCCCAGATATGGATTAAAACTTGCATTTGTAAAGAGTGTAAATGCTCACAGTTAATTTCCAAAGAAGCTCTGCCCAGAAAGGAAATAAGGTTCAATGACTTAGTTTGATTAGATACTTCTAACATTGAATAAGCTGAAATTAATTTTTCCTTTTGTTCTCTTTATTTCTAGAATTACAGTTAGCCAAGTTGGCCAGAATTTTACATTTGTACTCACAGACATTGACAGTAAACAGAGATTTGGATTCTGTCGCTTATCTTCTGGGGCCAAAAGTTGCTTCTGTATCTTAAGGTAAGTGGCTATTGGCTAACTCTGGGAAACAATGTTGGCCTTTGCTTTGTTATACTGCAATTATATTTTCCAGCTGTCCAGAACTATTTTCCTATCTGGTCCTCAGAAAGTCACTGCACTGCTGGAGAAATGGTACAAAATATTCTTGCACTTAGGGTTCCTCAGTTGATAATTATATTTATATGTAATCAGTGAACTTAAGTTAACAAAGTGGGGAAAAAAAAATCAGTGTGTCTGCTGTAATTTGACACAACATAACGTGATGGCATCCATTATTTTTAACTGTCACAATTGATCCTGCTAAGACAGTTTATGGACATCTGTATATGCAAGTTTTATTACTAACGCATCTGAGGGCAACAGAGAGAATGTCTTTCTGATGCTGTACATAACCTAAGGGTCTGTAGTTCTGATCCTCACTCCCTTCTCTTGATGGACACATGAATATAATCTAACCTGGTTATAAATATTGCTGTTGGGAGACGGAAACAATGAGCTTCACACAGAGAGGAGAGGAAATGAATGTGTGAGCTGGAGCTGTATGAAAACAGTTCCGCGTGACTTCAGGCCGATATGCTCTGGGGCAACTTTGCATAGTTTTCTATTCCCTTTTGCTACAAAAGAAAGGTGACAAAAAGCAGATTTCAGATCTACCGTTTGCCAGGTTCCTGCTGCAAACCTCCTGTTGGGGAAATAAAGCTATGCGCACTGCTCCCTGTCAGCCTCGGTTACCTAGGTGTAGCAGTGGCCTGCCTCCTGTCTCTTTGTGTTAGGAGAGAGAGGCTTGGGGAGAAGCAAAGCGAGCCAGGGCAAATGCTTCCTGATGAAGCCCAGGTACAGACTGTACTGATCTAACCCTAAGAAACAAAAAGCCAATTAGTCCAGAAAAAAGCAAGGATGCTTCACCAGCACCTCCATTCCACTTTATTTCACAGTGACTCTTTGTGGTGGCATGTTGCTAAGAGAGAAACGCATTGCAAGAACAGAACAGTTCCCCGGGCCTGTATGCTGGCAATGAAAGCAAACAGTGCTCATAAGGCAGACTTTCGGGGGGAAAATGTATCAAGAATAGGGTGAAAGAAGCAGAACAGGTTTAAATTCTGCCTTTGGTTGCATGTAACTCAATTGTCATATATGTGGTTGCTTGCTCGTGCCTAGAGCAGAATTTGGGCTGTCTGTATATAGCTTAGGCTTCTTCCGTTTTTATGTTTAGTACAGAAGGAACTTGAATTTGTGTTTTCTCATGTCTCTTTTGCAATATGCCAGCTGTGGTTAATCAGGTAGACCTTTCCTAAGGATACTGAGATGGCTGAAGGAGAAAGTCCCTGCTTGGTTTCTGTAAGTAAGACGCTGGACTGAAGGGAGAGTTACTGTATTATTTCCCATTGCATATCTGGTCAAGTGACTTAAAGACTTCATTCCCTCATAGTTCAAAGCTCTGCTTGAGCAACTGGTGGGCAATACTAATCCAGCTATGTGTAGATAGGGAAGTATTTGCTGAGGCATTTTCTGGAGCCATTAAACTAAAGAATTGAGGCACCAATTCTTCTCATGGGTTGCTCAAGGTAACCTTGCTATTTAATGAAAAATTAAAGGGGGGGACAGACAAAAATATCTGGATGAGAGTGAAATCTCTCCTTTCTCTTTTTGAAAAGGTTTCTTTGCTGTCTGCTTCCTAAGTGAATGTGTGGAGATTGTAAGAAAAAATTAAGATAGGGATTAAATGAAACCGAAATCAGCTGTCTTGTTCAGAAGATACTGAAAAATTGTATAAAACAATTTTTCTCCAGTTCAGTGTCTTTCTTCTCAGAGCCACAAAGCGTGCTGCTGGCATTAAACCTTCCAGTGTCCTTTGAAAATTACATCTGCCTGCTAGCCAAAGTCTGTATCTTCGTGTAGTTGTGTGTGTGTGTGTGTGTGTTTGTTTTATTTTGTGCTAGGTTTCTGTATAGTCCTCAGTTGTGTTTTGCCCCAGCCCTTCTGGAATAACCATGTAGCAACTTCATCTCCCCAGAGTGATTCTGTACAGCACCCTAAATATCAGCTAAGTAATCTTCAGACAGCTCACTCCCTCATCAAAAAACTTTGTTTCGACAAGCTCAGATGGTTGGAATCTTGGAATTGCACTCCTCCTTGTGCACTGCCATATGGTGGAATGTTATGCTGCTTCGCCACCAGTCAGTAACACTTTCAGTGATAAATGTGAGTTAATGACTTACTCAATGATAAACCAGTTAGACTAACCTTGTAGTTGAGGATGGAGTCAGAATGAGGGCGGAATGTCAGCTTAGAATGGCCTCCCTGCATCCACATTTGCTATTTTCTCTCTACAAAAGAATGATGAGTTGATGATTATTTGTTAAAATAGGAGTGCTGAGTGCAATGAGCATTCACTGTTTTAATGAGAGCGTAAGTTGTAATATCAGGCAGGGCTTCTTCCTGCTTCCCATGAGGGAACGGGTTTTAAATGGTAGGTATTGTAGATTGAACACCTTCAGAGCCGGGGGTGTGGCTTTTAATTATTTTCATCTAACGCTACTTAACAGGTCTTTAAAATGAAAACTTAATTATATCAAAGGATTCACTGGCATCAGTCATATAGTTTTGTTCTGAACGAAAAGCTATCTGTTTAAAATAATGGTTCTTGTTCTGATCTGCTGTTAGGATAATGTATACCGACACATTACTCAGAAGCATTGCTATTGATGGAAGTTTCCAATTTGGAGAGTCAAACTTAACTGTTTTAGACAGCACTAGCTGGAAACTGATTGTCAGCATGGATGCAGTTTTTAGCTTCCTTAATTCTCTCTTTTGTATGTTTAACTTTAAGCTTAAGCATCAGGCACAACTTACTTTCCTTCTTTATTTAAAACCACTGACTTTCTCTACCCTGCAATTCATCTTCTTTTCCTTTTACCATTTTTGAACTGTTCTTGAGAATAATATTATTTAATTTTTTTACACAAGGATTATTGAAGAGTGTTTTTTAGCACAGCTCTGGGAATAGCATTAAGTTCTGCGCTGAGGACACCAGAGGGCACACAATAGTATAAAACATGGTTCGTGTCTTTCATGCAGCCTGTGTGTTGGGCTTTTTGAATTTCTGCGCAATTAAATGGTAGATTTTAAAATCCACAATAAAGTTGCTATCAAATTGTAGCAGCTTTAGGTTAGGTCAGATTTGGGTGTAACTGCTCAGCATCAACACTTTATAATTTTGGAGTACATTTTTTATTAGTTTCAGCATTTTTAGGGAGAATATACATTTTAATAATGAAGGACCAAATCCTGGTGTCATTAGTTTTTCTTTAGTGCTTACTAAGGAAGAACTCCACTAATTTCAGGAGTAAGTAAGAGCTGATTAAACTGATTATGATTTGAGGTCAAATCATAAAATAAATAATCTGTGGAAGATGTGCAGATAAGTAACTTTTGTTTCCGTTTGTTCTCCATTGACATGATTCAGACTTTCCATCATCAGGACTAGCATAGAAGTAATACAGTGAATTGGTTTTGAAAGCAAGTCACAATTTCTATGCAAACTGCTTGCTTCCTTTCTCTCTATGGGGTGGCAGAGAGGTTTGGTAATTCTAAATTGGAGGACATTGAAAATAAAGAAACTGAAAGGTGGTTGATTGACTTCCTTCCCTTATCAGAATTTTTTTCAATTGGGAGTATCCTCTCCAAATTTGTTCTGGGATTTGTCACTGAGGTTTGTTTGAATACCCTTGGCTCCTTCTCCCCCAGTTTTTGGGAGCTCTGTCTGTCTTGTTTTTCTGTGCTGTGGATATGGAGGAGAGCCAAACCCAAAGAGACTAGCAGAGTCTGATAGTATATTTGGAACCCAAGTGATGCCCTCTGTGGTGAAGACAATTATTTGACTTTTCTGTAGTGTTCTTACTCTCATTTTCTCCATTTACTTGTTTGCAGTCCAGTGGACCCACCAATTTTCTTGCAGTCTTTCTGCATCTGATAAGTTCTCCATGTTTGTTTTTCTTTTTATGTATCTATTCTTCAAATTCCCACTTACCTCCCCTCCCCCATAATTTCTATTTTACACTTTGTGCCACAATTTGTTCTCTGTTGACTTGGCTCATATGATGTCTTGAACCTTCTGTTTAATTATATTGCCTATTTCTTGCCTTTCTGCATCACTTAGGGTATACATTCTTTTTCTGACTCTTCTGTGGTGCGTTTAAGTAGCTAAATTTCCTCACTTTGATGACTTGTAACCATAGAACACGTTTCATAGCACTCATTTGCAAATCTCCAAAAGATTGATAGATTTCAAGACCTGAAGGGATCCATGTAATAATGTAGCCTGACCTTATTATAACAGAAGCCAGGGATCACTATTAACAGTACAGGTATCACTGTAAAACATTTACTTGTTTAGCTTCTGCTCCAGAAATAGGAATGTATATTACATGGGTACCAAATCTTGACTCCAACATTTTTAGGGTGTAGAGGAAGACTGGGAGAACAGCACTTAGGCTGCAATTCTGCTTCCACCAAAAGATTTTGATTCTCTAATTATTTTCTTGCCTGCTTAAGCTAATGTCCTAGGTTGAGTTTCATGGATGCCATCCTAAAGATGGATTGAAATGTACAGTTGCATAATGATCAAGACCTTTTGCTGTGTAAATAGCTTCTCCTGTCAGTGTTACATTAATATGCTAAAATGAAATACCTGAACAGTTTGGAAAACATGGGGTTGGGGGTTTGTGTGCCCTAGTAACTGCCAGAAGGCGATGGTGGTATTGCAGAAAGGGCCTGGGAAAAGTAGTGATCTTAAGTATTCATGGGTGTGCAGAAAAATGTTCCTGAAAGTTCAGCCTGTAGACATTCATGTGAAGCCACTGACATTAGGAACTTGCAAATTCACAGCATAGTTCAGAACACGTTATCCCTTTGACCTGTGAAGTGAGCCTTGCAATATTGTTTAGCACTAAAGGTTCTGTCAGATTGGGGTAAGCAAATAAAAACCAAACATCCCCCAT